TGACGTCTCAAGACACGTCATTGACATGTTAGGTGACGTCAATGAAACGTCGTTTATATCTCAAAGGGCGGGTCTGCCTGCGCTACATCAGTACCCTTGGCGATTCAATGACATTTTTGAATTCGACAGTTCTCTTTATAGTAGTAGTATTTAGCCCAAAGTTTACGCAAAGACCTACCTTCAAAACAAAGCATTGTGCTGTCCATGAAACTTGAAGCCTCTGCGCGATTATCCGTGTTTGGAGGTGTCGGTGTAACATGACCTTTTCCAGGGCTAAATACTACTATAAAGAGAACTGTCGAATTCAAAAATGTCATTGAATCGCCAAGGGTACTGATGTAGCGCAGGCAGACCCGCCCTTTTGAGATATAAACGACGTTTCATTGACGTCACCTAACATGTCAATGACGTGTCTTGAGACGTCATCAACAGTGGAAAATCAGGCTTCTTCATTAGCGTGTTACAGTCTTGTTCGCTATAGATGATGGGGTGTGTCAGCGAGGCTCGATTTGGCGCACCGTCAACCCGTTCCCCACCAATGTTGAAGAGGGTAAACGACAAGAACTGATTGAACCACTGATCTTGAACGACTTGATACGTTTTTGTGCTTGCCGGAAAAAAACGAGCTGGCGCTGCGCCAAACCCATCTCCCTTGACAAGACCCACATCCGCAGCGGAAAGGACTATGTGATTCCCGATTCTTAAGGAGGTAACACACCTGCACTACACCAGCGCCTAACAGAGACATGAGGAAACTTCAAAACCACTGGGAAATCAAACGCTACATACGTTAAAATCCCATCTGAACTCATCGTCTCCTGAATTTTTTCTCGAAATGGTGAGCCATCTAACAGATTCAAATTGTCCTTCTCAAAGTTTCTATAAAAGATATGAAAATTTACCAGAAACATGAATAGTAATCCATGAATAGTTGAAGGAACGTAAGAAGGTAAGAAATCAACTTACTGCACAGTTTTCACATTATGAAAACTGACACGTCGTTTCATTACTTGCTTTGCGGTGTCATCTTCAACTGTGACCTTTTCCGAAACAACCTCCGTTTGTCGAATTTTCAGAATCTGTATTGAAAGAAAGATAAATATTCACTTAATTACAGTCTTGTTCGTTGTAGACGCGGGCGTTTCTGGGAAGGGGGGCGGATATGGCGCGACGTTCACGTTCTCCATAAATTGTGGAAGCTGGCAGGCGTTGCTGGTGAATAGGCTGGGCGGCGCCAAACCCAGCACCTACCTCTCCCCCCTTCTCCTCCATGGAACGCCCAGCGTCCTAAGAGCATAAGACTGCACGACCGAAATAAGAAACATACCGAACTTCGACGACTTTTGCGCTGTCGATCCATCACTGCAAAAGACCACATTTAGCTAAGAAAATTATGGCCAAGAGAGCCACGGATTCTTCGACATTCACAAAATTACTTATGTTACCACCTTATCAACCGAAGTAGAGCCCCAACGATTACGGATTCTGCCTATTTGCTTTATTCAATCCGAGACCCAAAGGTAGAAGTTAAAATATATCTACAGCTGTAGATCTCATGCAGCTGCCAACAATCTACAAATTCTCACTCTAGCTCAGGATTTTCTATAATAATCAATAGTTTTAGGATTCATTTTGGATAACCCACACTGCTGAACAAGGCGTAGAGAACAAGGTAAGTTGGAAATATTGGGATCAGCACAGGTAGCGTTGAAATGTCCCTATCTCGTGACAGAAGGTGAAGTTGATGTGGTGGCAAGCGGCACTATTACCATTCACAAGCAGACCGAGGAGTAAAACCTCGGATCGGCTCCAGAACGAGGCCAAAACAAGCCCTCTAACCTCTTGTGACAGTAAGACTGGTACCAATTTGTCTGGAGGGTAAGAACAATGACTTGTATGTTGGGCCGCCCTGCAGGGACATTAGTATGCGCCACTAGCCACATTCCAGTGTAAGCCATTTACGATTTTGCGTGAAGAAGTAATGTCGATGCCGGGATCCACAAAGGGAACTGACCGATCGCCGAAAATGTCTCCATTTGATCTTGCTGCAGATGGGAAAGGTTCATAGGCGGAATCAATCCAATGAATTAAGGATAAAGCTTTTGCCGCTGATCAGTCCGTTTGCGAATGTCTGATTCGGGACTTACTGAACGCGATATGGCCTATGCAAAGATTTGCGGCAGCCAGCCAATGTACAAGCCATGTTAATAACCTCTCAGACGATTATGTACCATGTTTACGGGTCCCAGCGTATCGAAGAAGTCATTCCGCCCACGGCAGCCGTCAGAGACTAGACCTCTCCGCATGTGTAAATCGCATGCTGACAACCGTAGAAAAGAGGAAAGCAAACCGTTTCTCCGTTCCTTGTATAAATGGTTTTAAATAGGATGCCGAGAGTTCGAACGAGTATCAACGAAGCTGAGACACTGGCTGGGCGCCAGAAACCGCAGGAACGAACAACCCCAAGAGAACAGAAAAACAAGCTACAGGATACGGTCCTCACAGCGCACTAACTTCTCACGCTGGTAGACCCCTACAGCGATCTGCCAAGATTGTGAAGGCAAAGTAGGCAATCAATACTTTGTGGAGCGTTTTGACGTCTGCCAGTTTGGCGCTCTCCACTTTTCTGACGCTCGAACGTTCAAATCACTGGCGGACCTAGAAACTTGATAGGTGCCGGGCACACTTCTATTCGCTTAAAACGCTCAACAGGGGCAAAAATATGAAAGAACTCTAATGTTTACGAACCCTCATAAACCCCGAATAATGGTAGAGTCATATGAAGATTAGTGGCAACAATCATAGCGAAAAGCGTGTAAGCGGCTCGCACAGCAAAATGTCTAAGACTAGGAAAAGGAAAATACGTGCAGTTGTACCTATTATGGTCCTGCTCATGTAATACGTAGTAAGGACACGTCGTTGTACAAGAGAGCGAAAGAAGTTCTGGGAGGCGTGACACCGAGTCTCCAGTGAAATTCGAAAAGCCTTCTGCATGATGAGATCACGATACTTCTAAATACCGAGAGCCCTCTTTGTCCAGTCGGCAAAAGTCCCCATCCTCACCGCAAAAGAGACACACGAAATCAGGAAAAATGAAAAAAAATGGCGAAGTGGTGGAAAAACGGTGTAGAAAAAGGTGGAGAAAAGGTCGTAAGACAGTTTCTCGATGTTGGAGTGACAAGAGGAGTGTAGCAACGCCGTGCCATGTCCTAACATGCAACACTAGCGTATCGGACTGCGGACCTATGTCGATCCACACCTTGTGACAGTGAAGTTGAATTACGAAAAGGATCAGATATTATCGCTCTGAAGAACTGCCGAATTCTGAAGAGCTGACGAATAGCAGAAATGAAAAATTTACGAAAAGGACCACATAAGCATCGATCTATTTCCGCAAATCGCAAACTCTTCTTCAAAGCGAAAAAAATGTCCCAAAGCATTCAAAGAAAACAGTAACACGAAGATACTGTTGTCGCCGATTAAAGGTTTTCCATAGTAAATAGAAAAACATGTTTCAAACAACCATCTATCCAACTCGAACATTAGACCAACCTGCGGAAGAATGAATAAAAAAAATGAACCTAGAGCAGCTGAGAGATAATATCATGGCAAAGTGGCAGAACTTATCACTTTCTTACATTTACCTGATAATTCTACATCTATAAATATCACTACGTGCTGAACAAATAATTATCAAGTAAGCACGTTTAAATGCCAAAAGCGTACAATCAAAAATGTTCGGCAATTTCATTTTCAAAAAAGTTGCAACTGAACACAGTATCGTCGGCAATCCCTGAGCATTTATTCGCCCCACAGCCATCAACTAATTTTCTAGCTCACTGCTTAAAAGCAACAGGAAAAAAGCTTAAAAGCAAACCAAACAGGACAAGAGAGTTTTTCATTTGGGCGAATTCCACTTGGTGAAAATGGTTTTCGCCATGACTATTTGAAAGCGGCAGATAGAATGAAGAGAAATCAAGGCTTTTCAATAATAAAGGAATTAACAAGGATACAAAAACAGTAAAACTACAACCACAACGCAATTTGAATGATTTCAGTTCGCGCTAATTTTGATTGTCTGGAGCGCGGACAGCGGAGCGCATTAAACGGCCACCTGATCTGAAATTCTTTCGTTGCGTGCGAAACGGTCGCGACGCTGCTCTGACATTAGAGCACATTTTTCGCTCAAATAAATGGTGGTGGCACAATACAGTACGGACAGCCAGGGCACGCCATCGTTCTGATCATCACCCAGGGGGGGGGGGTAGTTATTTGATCGCGAGGAGGGGTCTATTTGGTCAGTTTCATGGACGTAACTACTAATTTCCAACACTGAACAATGATAGTTTAATTTGACAACCTCCCCCCCCCCCCCCCCGCCTATCGACGCTCGTTCGATGATGATAGGACAGAGGCTGGGGGCTGGGTCGTATTTTAGTATGGAATTAAGGGGGGGGGGTCGTAATTTTCAGAAAATGATCACAACGCGATGGCCTGCTCTGCGGACAGCACGGAGAAGACGGGCACCGCAACCATTGGTTAACGGCAACACATGTCAGTGAGGACTGACGAAAAACAAAATGAGACACTAAATGACCTTATTGGACTCTCTGCAGTCTTCCCTAACCCATGGTGTTCGTAAAGGTTGATTAGAAAGCAAGAGCTTGTTCAAGGTTGGTCCCGTTCTAGTTATTACCTACTTCATTTCTGCTCTCTTGTAAGAATACAGGTGGCAGGTTCTCTGGGGACGGGCGGTCCTAAGGCCACGCTGGCTGGCGGCACGATATGTGCCTGTTGGTCGAAAGCGGCAATAGCCTTGCCCCTGCGTCTCTGACACTGACTCTGCGCTCTAACGCACGCCGCCGCACAATCTACCCACTCTCCCGCTCTGGGCTCTGCCGATCGATAATAGCTCCAGCTGATTTTACGGCACTTTCGCAGTATTTTTTCTACATTCAGCTAAAAAAGCTGCGAATTTTCGACTTTCGGTCTTAACAGTCAAAGGTGAGTATTTTTACTAAATTGTAATCACAATTGCACGAATTTAGTGCTTGAAAATCCCTAGAACATTTTTCTTCTGATTTTTGCAATCGTCCAAACTTTTCCTTATCGTCCCCAGTTTTTTTATGTTATTAACCGGCTTTTCGAAGTAGAGTCTCAGATGTGATCTCGTTATTATCGAGAACCATCTTTGACTCTGTTTTGAAGCTCGGAGAGCGCACACTTGCTACATAATTCACTCCAACATACTAAAAGCGGCTCACTATTAGACAATGAGAACAAGACGCAGTCGAGGACAGAATCCAAAAGGAAGAGAAATAAAAAAATAGTCAGCAGAGACTCACAAAATTTCAGGAAATATGGGAAAAGGGGACCATTAAGGCGACTCCGAGCTTCAAAACAGAGTCAAAGATGGTTCTCGATAATAACGAGATCACATCTGAGACTCTACTTTGAAAAGCCGGTCAATAACATAAAAAGAACTGGGGACGATAAGGAAAACTTTGGACGAATTGCAAAAATCAGAAGAAAAAATGTTTTCTAAGGGATTTTCAAGCTAAATTCATGCAAATTGTGATACAATTTTAGTAAAAATACTCACATTTGACGGTTGAAGCCGAAAGTCGGAAATTCGCAGCATTTTTTAGCAGAATATGGCAGGAATTCGGAGAAAATGCGTCGGGGATCAGCTGATGGACAGCGTCAGCCATTATCGATCGGCGAGAGTGCACGACGGAAGAGCGAGTAGAGGGCGCGGTTGGGTGTGTAGAGGGCGCAGTATCAGTGTCAGGAGAACGAGCAATTGCGTGATAATTTTTCTGGAATTTCGCGGCTTTCCATCGCCACGCCATCAGCGGAGCGCTCGCCGGCGTGGTCGTAGGGAACGCCCCACCGTCCGGTGAGCACTCCACTGTAAGTTGCTGGGTCTGACCTTTATTTAGAAGATTCGAAGGAAAGGAAGTCGGCACAGCGATGAAGCGAGGCAGGCGAACGGCTTGTTGACAAATCGATGCCAAGATACTCAGGGAGTTTGAAAATTATTTGAAAACGTACCAAAAACATTCACAGAAGTTTATTCAGCAATCCGAGATTGTTTAGGTCCTTTTACCAGACTGACGTTTCGGCAGTATTGCCTTCTTCGGAGCCTGCAAATCAAAACCTATTTTTGAAACAATTCGCCCTAGTCCCATTTCAGATAACATAGTGAAGCTTAAGGCAAAGCAGTCCATAAGAAACATCGTGAAGAGGGCTAACCTTTTAAGGAGAAGGCGTTAGTAGTCGGCACCCTGAGCTTAAGGATCTGGTAGTGAGGCTTTTATATGTATTTGGAACGCGTAATTAGGGTCAACCTGCTTTGGG